GCTGTGCACAATTAGAAGTATATTTGTGGTTAAAAAAAAAAAGAAAAAAAGAAAAAAAAAAAAAAAAAAGCAGAGCTCACACCCAGCTCTGCAGCAACACTAGAAATAGTCCTGGCTGCCTTTAGCTGCTTGTATTGATTATCCTGCCAGCTGATTTGAATAATTAAGGCCAGATGGACCCTATTTATATGTTTATAGGAACAACCCTAGGAGTTATCCCTTGGGGTAAGTGTAGGGGGTTGCCCTTGTATCTTCCTCTGCTGCCTGTTCCTACCCTGTTGCATCCCCAAGCAGTGCTTCTCCAGCAACCTGTGAGCAGCGGGCAGCATTAGTGCTCCTCTTTACCCAGGAATAATTGCTGTTGGCATGCTGATACCATCCCTTATACAAACAGTGCTATAAAGGCCAGCCAGCCGTGTGCTGATGGCGGTGAGTAACTGGAGCTGGTGGTGGCAGTGGGTGAATGGAGCTGTGGTGGGGATGGGGATGGGGATGTCCCCAGTGCTCAGCCCTGCGCCAGGGCAGGGAGGTCACTATCTGACCCTCAGCATCTCTCCAGGCTCCAGCAGTGCGTCACAGCAAGCAATTTGCAGGTGTTTATTGTCTGGGAAGAGCTGTCAAGCCTAGCTGGGTTTATTTATGCATACTTCCCAAACCTGGAAATAGATATATATACAGAGCTGTGACGTGCTCCAGAGCTGGTGGCCCCAGCCCTGCAGCAGCAGCTGGGGGCTGTCCTGCAGCTGTCTGTCCTTACCAACCCAACACCTTGGTGCTGGGGGGTGGCACTTTGCTGCAGCCCTGCTCCCTGCCCACAGCTGTGCCCATGTGTGGTGCATTGCCAGGTGCAGAGCACAGGTTTGTACCCCCCACTCTGGCCCCCTCCCCTCTGTTCCAGGCTTTGCTCTTCATCCCATTGCTCCCATGTAAGAGCTCGCTGCCCTGCTTTGGTATTTCTTTCCATGCCAGCTTTTTCACTGTGTCCTTCTCTATTAGTCACAGGAATTAGGGAAGACAGTTGGTATTTCATCATTAGATGTATCACATCCAATAAATTGATCATTATTCTCCGATGATTAGCAGCTCAGTTTCCATCAGTTTGGAGCAGTTCTGCTCTTTTTTTTCCCCCTGCCTTCAAGCAGCAGCACGCCTTCTCCTAGGATCTGTTCTAATCAAAGGATCAGAGCTCTGGAAATGTCCTTTGCGCACGTGGGAAGGCTGTTCTCCCTCTCACAGTAAGCGACTTTGAAGCACTGCATGCAGCCCTGCACCGTGGCGGTGCCTGACCTGCTTTCATTGTAGCCGCCTGCATCTGCCCCCACTCCTCCGCTGGAGCCTCCAGAGCTCTCCATGGGGTCAGTTCCTTCCCTTTGCCCTAGCTGCTGGTTACAACACGGCGGTGCTCTCCGTTTTGGGGAGTTTTCAGAAATTCTGAGCTATTTAGGAGCGTTACTCGTGTTTCCAACTTGGGAAAAGCCTCAGGGCGTGAGGACGTACGGCCCAGCACAAAGCAGGGGCTGTGTTTGGGTCGGGAGGTGCTGGGGGATGCAGCCAGCCCCGGCCCCGAGCTGCTGGAGAGCTCAGGGGAAGCCATTTCGGGCGGCATCTGCGCATCGCTGCGTGTCTGTGCGTTCTGGAGTGCCATCTGCTGGCACCCGGCCCACCGAGGTGCCCCCAGAGCAGCTCCAGAGCCCCTTTATGGGGAGCTGCAGACCTCGCTTCGCCTGAAAACCGGCTTGAATGGGGAGTGCAGGCAGCGCACGTGCCCTCCCCGGCTCTCCATGGGAGCAGCTTTGGCACCCCCACGTGTGCGTGGCTCCTTGGTGTGGGGCGGTGCAGTTACCATCTCGCATCCATCAGCTCTAAAGCTCCAATGATCCAACTGGAGCCCATTCCGAGTGAACACACAAATTCAATTTAGGATCCCATTCCCATCTGGCTGTGGAATGAAGCCTGCTTCACCAAGGGTTCTGAAATCTGATTGTGCGTCACTGTGCCCGGAGGCATCCCGATGCTGTGGGGTTCTCCCAGCAAAGACCATGGAGGCTGTGTGCCCTCCCAGGAAGGAGTGCTCAGACCTCCCCATGTAGCGTGGGGCTTGCAGATCCCCCAGCACCAGCTGCAGAACACCTGGAGAAACTGGAGCAGGGCCACAGGAAGGGAAGGGCCGGGCTGGGGGATGGCTCACCAGGGAGTGCTGGGTCCTCTGTCATCTCGGTCCTTAAATGTTGCATTGCAAACTCACATTTCCCAGCCAAAAACGCCTTTTGCACCAGCGCTCCCTCATTTTGCACGGTTACAAATCAGTGGAATGGGACATTCCTGATCGTTTCTGAACATCTGCTTTGAAAATGGGGAGATTTATCAAGTCTGACCTTCCCCGTGTGCACTTTTGCTTTGACGAAGGAACAGATTCCAATGAAAACCCACAGGGCTGCTCTGAAAACCATTCCCTATCCTCAACCAAGCTCTGGTGTGCTCTCTCCTCCCAGTGTTACTGGTTTGCACTGGTGATTGGCTGGGTAAGAAATGGGTTTGATGATCCTGTACTGTTGGCACTGCTGGCACTGGTTTTGGGGAGGAGAAGTCCATGGTCCCACCAGCCCCACTTGTCCCACAGAGCAGGGAGGATCTTGCCCAATGTGGATGAGGTGGGATGGTGGCACAGATACTGACAGAACCATGGATCTTGTTACCATGGCAATCAGCACAGCCCTCAAATGATGGCATGTCACTGGGCGGGCAAGGGGACATCCCAGCACCCATCCCATGAGCCAAGTTCTGGCCCACACCACACATCTGGGGGCTGGTGGACTGGGCTAATTGAATGTTTCTGCCTCCACATCTCCCTTCCCAGCAAATAAAACCAGAGTGAGATAAAAATCTATGGTGCTTAAAGGGGACGCTGCCAAGTACATTTTTATCAGCTTTCATTTGCATTTTGCTCTCATTTTGCTGGCAGCACTGTCTGGGAACGGCGTTCCCCCCCTGGCTGAGTGCTGCCCAGCTTCAGCTGGCAGCCCCCTCCCTCCAGCACGCCCCATGCACACCCAGCACCCAGCTCACGGAGCCTGTTGGTGCAAACCCCAACGGGGAGTTTGCAAACCCCAGCCAGAGCTTTCTTTGCCCCATGAAACCCCTCACGGCCGCTTTTGGCTGTGCTGGGCAGAGCTGAGGGCTCGCTGTGCTCCTCTCCCTGGGATGCAGCACTGCTGCAGGTGGGAGTGCCACAGGTGGGGGTGCCACAAGGAAAAGAAAACGCCGTTTGTCCCGCTCTCATGAACATTACGGCGTGTCTGGAGCCTTAATTTATACCCCGGCTCCCGGAATTAACAGCTGGAAAGAGAATATTAGCTTTTGGTTAAAAGCCGCGGATTTCAGCCTGAGACATCCTCGCTACTCCGCCCCATCAATCCTGGCAGAATTACAGCCCCCAGAGCCGCAAACCCCGGCGCTGCGCTCCCGCTGGGGGTCCTCATCGGGATGAACCAACGCAGCTCCAGGAAGGTCCTCCTCGACTCCTGAAATCCCTGCAACCTCTCTCCCTGCACCGTTTGCCTCCTGTCCTCCCCGGGCCGAGCCGCAGGGACCAACCCCATATCATCTCAGCCCTTGTCCCTATTTGATGCCCACGTCCCCGCCGGGCGATGTCCCCGCAGCCGCGGAGCGCTGGTGCCATCTCCCGGCACCGCGGGTCCCGGCTGGGTGGGCACGGCACTGCAGCCTCTCCGTGTCTCAGCAGGGTTTGCTCGTTTCTCTCCCCGTGCAGGAGCTGCCGAGCGGCCAAACCCCAGCAGCAGCGGTGAATGCGCTCGCTGCTGCCAGCACCGGATGGGACAGCCCAGCCAAGGGCTGCGCGCTCCAGGCAGACCCTGCGGATACCGAGGTCAGGCTGGGGGGCTCTGTCTGCCTGGTGGAGCTGTGGGTGTCCCTGTTCGTTGCAAGGGGTGGCCTTGTAGTGTCCATTCCAACTCAATTCTAGCTCCCTGAGCAGGTAATGGAGATGACCCGGATCGCGTCCTCTTCTCCATCCGTCCCAAAGGATGATCACAAGAAGGACAGAGTGAACGTGAAGCGAGGCACAGCTCCTTGCAGCCCTGGAGATGAAGAGCAGGAAGGGGAATACTTGGCAAAATTGAATCTGTACAAATCAGCAAGTCTGGATAATATGTAACCCACAGACTAAATAGAATTAGCTAATGAACTTAGCGAGCCCCTGACGATTATTCATAAAAAGTCAGTGAGAGAATGGCACATCCTGGGTTTATTTAATGTCTTTATTAATGATCTGAAAGCAAGAGTAAACAACACATTAATTACGGCTGCGGATGACTTGGAGCTGCAAGGTGTTGCAGATGCTGGCAAAGTGGCACCGCGGGCCCTAATGAGGTTGGAAGTAATGCAGTGGGGAGCGAGCTGAGCATCATCCATCAGCAGGATGCATCCCAGGGGAGTGGGACCTGAGACACCAATGGGAGGGAGTGGGGAGGTGTGAGCTTAGTGGGGTCTCAGCAGGAAGCCTGGAGTTAGGAGGATTGAGAGAGGAGTCCAGCGAGTGGGGCAAGCGTTGTACGTGGCCTCAATGGGGACACTGTAACCCAAAGGAGAACCACTGGCTTGGCACCCCAAGGCTCCAGAATGGGGGAGCAAAGCCTTTGCTCAGAGCCATTGTGCTCAGTGTCCGAGCACTGCCTGGCACTCCCTGTCCTGCTGCAGGCTCTTGGCAGCCCCTTCCATGGGCGGCAGCACCCAAAGGTGCCCGCTCGCCCCCACAGCCCCAGGGCGGGCACTTCTGTTCTACCCTCACACCGCCCCGGTAGGAACAAGGGCGCTTTGAGAGCAGGGTGGGCCACGGAGCGGGAGGCCTCTAGCCCTTTAAGAGGGGAAATTTGTAATCCGAGCGAATTCCTCCTTTCTGACAGGCGGGAGAGCCGCCGGTCCCTCCCTCGCTGCACTTTATTAAATATAGTAGTGGAGCCGCCGTCGGCTGGGAGCGGGCGCGGGCGGAGAGCTCCGGCCAGGAGCACCATGGCACCCCGAGGTGGTCCCCACGCACTGCTGCTGCTGCTGCTGCTGGTCCACCGGCCCCCTGCCTTCCATGCGGGACCCTCAGCTGCAGGTAAGCCCCATCCCAACACCCGCTGTGGAACTCTGTGCTCTGGAAGCAACAGGGCTAGCATGGGAGGGCACCCAGTGCGGGTGGCATGAGCACACTTGGGTGCCCAAGGAGCTGCCTGCTTTGGGCAGGGTGCTTGCGGCTGTCCTGCGTCCTGCTGGAGGCTTTACAGGGCAGCGGGTGGGATGGGCACACATGGGATGCTGTGCAGGGCTGAGCAGGTGGCATCCCAGGGCATGCTCCTCTCCCTCCGGGCTTGTTCCTTCTTTCCTCCATGCACCAAAATATCACAGCGCCTGGCAAGCGAAGTGGAAAATTTTCCTTTGTCGATGAACAGAGTGCTCTTCTTCCCTCCAGCACTGACCTTTGGGTCCCAGACAGCACTCCCACCTCATGTGTGGGATCAGTGCTGTGCTGTCCAGCACCTCCAAAGGTGCAAATGTTGCCCCACTGCATCCCAGAGTCTATGAATGGCTGCTGCCAGGCTTGGGCCGGGAGGAGGCTTCCATGGGCACAGCACAGCCTGCAGAATGCCCCCAGCGTGCTAACCAAGGGCAGGGCGCAGCGGTGGGATAGGAGGACAGCACAGACCTTGGGACTGGGAGGGAAAGAGGTTTTGCACTGATTTCCCACTGTGCCCAGCCCAAAACGGGCAGCGTGTGTGCAGCAGGCATGTATTGCAAAGGGCAAAGTGTCCCGTGTTCCCATCAGCGTTCTCTCCCTGCTGTGACTACGGGGACATCCCATCCTGTGCCCACCAGTGGCACCCCAGCGCTGCTCGGAGACCCAAGCTCTCCTTGTTCTGAACCTCCTGTACCGAAGGCCCCACATGTTCTGAGGTCAGCGCTTGGAGCAGCTGGAAAAGTTTCCAGCTGATGGGAAAGAGCAGGAAAAAGTCTGACGGGGGGAATGCAAACCGGTGTCGTGGGAATGAGGAGGAAAATTCTCCTCTTATATTTAGCAACAGAGGGCTGCAGGCAGATATATAATAAGCACATTCCTCGAGAATCACAACTTGGGGTTAAGCTCAGCCCCAACGAGCAAACATTAGGGTGCGGGCAGCGCGGGAATGCAGCTCTCTGGGTGCTGGGTGGGGATGTGTGCCTAAACTGGGCTGTGGGCACGGCCATGTGTACAGCTGGGCACAGCTATGGGCACGGTGATGGGCACAGCCAGGCATAGGGATGGGCACAGCTATAGGCACAGCCACGGGCACTGCCATTGACATGGCTAAGGGCACAGCCATAGGTGCAGCCATGGGTGCAGCCATGGGCATGGCCACGGGCACAGCCTGGGCATGACCATGGGCACAGCCACGATTACAGCTGTGAGCACAGCTTTGGGCACAGCCATGGGCATGGCCATGGGTGCTTCACCTGAGGAGGTTGTCAAAGGAACAAAGCTTTCTGTTGGCACGCAGCAGTTGGGGAAAATGGCCTCAGATAGGGCGCTCACTGCCCCTCTGCTTTTGGGCAGGTGGATATTGGGCTGTGCCTCTGCTCTTTGAGCTCTACCCACAGCCCTGTGACAAAGCCATGTGTCCCACTCTTGGCCCAGCTCACGGCGTGCCCAACGGTCGCTCCTGGCAGACGGACAGACAGGCAGACAGACAGAAAGCATGCCAGGGAAAGAGAGTGCTGCTAAAAATGGATGGCAGCACAGAATGGCACGGCGGAACCGCCCGGTGGCACGGCAGCAGTGCCATCACGTGCTGCGAGCCAAGGGGGATGAAGGCAACCTTCATCCATCAGCACGCCCCATGTTGTGACTCACAGCTATTAAAGGAGCCTTTATGGGCCGTGAGTCAGTGCAGGATGGGAGCATCCCGGGCTGCTTTTTGCCCAAACCTTATTTTTCTGAGGGTTGTTTTCCTCTCTTACTCACACTGCCATGCACACCTCCTGTGGGCAGCCAGGGGAAACCGCATGGGCACCGCTGGCTGTTTGGGGCACTTCCACCCATTTTGCTGCATCCCCTCCCTTCGGCCAGGAGTGCCCTATGGGGTGATATCCCCATCCGCCTGCTTTCCTCCCATGCAGGGACCTCTGGGAGCGGGGTCGCTTCCTCTGGGCCATGGGGCCGAGGTGGCTGTGATGCCTCCCAGGGGGGGGAGCCCAGCTGCCCCACAAGGCACCCAGCTATAAATAGAGGCAGGCGCGCCGTTATTTTCTCTATAAACACAACTCCTCGGCTGCTTTCTCATAGATGGGAAAGGCGTGGGGCTGAGAAACCCCAGGCCGGGAGGGGAGGGGGCCCCTGTCTGCATGGGAACGGAGCGAGGAGGGCTTCCAGCATCTCCCCCCATGCTCGCTGTTGCCGTGCAGCTCTCGCAGCCCGCCTCTGGCTGATGCATCCCATCTTTCTGGCGCTTCAAAGGCGCTCCGTCCCACGCCAGACTGGGACGCGGCTGCCGGGCAGCCCTCCAGCTCAGTGCTGTTTGTTTGCATCGCTCCGGTAACACGGCCGGGCGGGGGGCACGGGACGCCCCACGAGTGGCTGTGAGGGATGGGGGCACGATGGATCCCACGTCCACGGGCGGGCAGCGGGAGCACAGAGCTGGCTGCAGTGCCACGGGCAGGGTGGGGCCGGGAGAGCTGGCAGCCGTGGGGGGAGAAAAGGGGGGAGAGAACAAAATCCGCCTTGGGATGGTTTGGAAACCACGTCCTCTGGGGCTGATACAATATTTCCAGGCCAACTTCTGCTGGCAGAGGGGCTGCCGCGAGCCTGAGTCACGCTGCAGGGCCGTCACAAAGCCCCATTTACCGACGCTTCCCCCAAACGCTCCTGCTTTCTTCCCCCCCCCTCCTCCTTCCGCTTCCAGCCAGCCCTGAACTCCATGCATCCCTCAGATCCGTCAGCACATGGCATTTGTGCCCTGAGCCACCCCCAGCCTGCACCCCTCGGGGGGAGAGCGGCCCAGTCCTGTGCATGGGTACACAGACACACGGACATATGGACACATGGATATAGGGACACATGGACACACAGACATAGGGACACAGGGACATGCAAACACAGGAAGATATGAGTACATGAACATAGGGACACGTGGACATAGGGACACAAGGACATAGGGACACATGGACATAAGGACACAGGGATACATGGACATAGGGACACGTGAACGTTGGGACAGATGGACACAGGGGCTAAGGGACACATGGACACAGGAAGACATGAATACATGAATATAGGGACACAAGGACATAGGGACACATGGACATAAGGACACAGGGACATAGGGACACGTGGACATAGGGATATAGGGACACAGGGTCACACACATAGGGACATAGGGACGTGAAAGCACAGGAAGAAATGGACACATGAGCATAGGGACACGTGGATTTAGGGACACGTGAGTATAGGGACATATGGGCATATGGACACGTGGACATAAGGGCCCATGGACATAGGGACAGGTGGACATAAGGATCCATGGTCATGTGGGCATGTGGAGATAGGGACACAAGGACAAAGGACACAGGGACACATGGACATATGGCCATAGGGACACACAGACATATGGACATAGGGACACATGGATATAGGGACACACAGATATAGGGACAAACAGACACATGGACATAGGGGCAAAGGGACACATGGACACAGGAAGACATGATCACGTGGACATAGAGAGACATGGATGTATGGACACACAGACATGGGCACACACAGACATATGGACACCTGGGCACATGGACATGCAGACATGTAGACAGATGGACGCACAGACACAGGGACACCTGGATATGTGGACACACAGACACATGGAAACAAGGACGTAGGGACAAGAGGACAAAGGGATGCACAGACGCATGGACACAGGGGCGCACAGACACAAAGACACAGGGATATACAGACACAAGGACGCACAGACACAAAGACACATGGACAGACAGATAGATATAGGGCCACATGGCCACAGGGACATAGGAATACAGGGACACACTGACACACACAAACAGGCACACGGACACAGGAACCAACAGATAAACAGACGCAAGGACACACGGACACATGGACACGCAGATACATGGATGCATGCCTGCAGGCGTGACACAAGCCCACGGGATGTGTGTTGCCAGATGCATGAACTGCTGAGGCTGCACACCCTGACCCTTTGGGGGTCCCATCCAGCTGTGCCCAGATGCCAGCATCGTTCATCCTGGACACACCAGCAGCCCTTGGGCTGCACGGATCACGGCAGAACAGCACTGGGGAAGCAGAGGCCAAGCTTCTGGCCCCGTATCACTGCAAAGCACTGCGGGGTTGGATGCAGGCAGCCCCCCTCCAGCTGTGCAGGAGCGGGGCCATGGCTCTGCCTGACCCTGCAGTCCGTGGGCTGCAGAACGGCATTTTTGTGTGGGAGCCAGGGCAGGAGCGCGGGGACGCAGCTGGGAAGGAACGAAGGCGGGCGGAGGTAGAGGCGGATGCTGGGGGCAAGCGGGACGTGCAGGGGAGAGCTCAGAGCCCTTCCAAGGGATAATCTCATAGCCAACATCGGGGGTGGTGCAGCCCCCCCAGAGCGGCGGCGTTATCAGCGTTGGCTCCGCAGCCCTCCCTGCATCAGTGCTTTCCAGCAATCCCTGTTGTGCCTGAAAAGCATCAGAGTGGGGAGCAGCACACGTGACCCTATTGTGAGGTGAGGGAGCAGTGCTCACAACCCAAAGACAGAGCCAGGAGAGGGGAGAAAGAGGAGAAGTCCTCCTTCATGGCAGCAGCCATCCTGCAGCAGGCAGCTGCCATCACAGTGATGGGGATGGCACCCCAAAGCTCCAGCACTGCAGACATCCCCGTTGGGGTCAGATACTCGAGGCTGGCCCCGTGCCACTCATTTCCATGGCACCAGGATTGGAGCCTGGAGGGGCCCCACACCCCACGCTCCCAGCAGAGCTGTGTTTGCCTTCGCCTGCCTCGCAGGCTGCTGGTTTCCTTCCCCAGCCATAAATAAAACCGCGCCGTAAATCGGAGGGAATGCACAGCATAAAGGAGCCTTTCTCCTCACTCCCTGAGGGCTGTGGGGTGGGCAGGGACCGCTTCCTCCTGCCGGCTGCCCACGGCCCCATCCCACAGCCCCATGTGCCACCCGACTCAGCGGGGCCACCCATGGCAGAGCAGGAGGGATGGGAGCACACTACCTTATAAAGTCATCCAGCCCCAAGGCTGACGCTGCAGAGGAGGAATGCACCGGGCCGGACACCGTGCACACAGGGCTGCTTGTTTGGGGCAACAAGGAGCCCTCACTCCCCACCTGGTGTCCCACCCTAAAACCCAGCGGGGCCGGCAGGAAGGGCTGCACACAGAGCCCCTTTCAGGTGCTGGGGTGCAGCAAAAGGGCCGCTTTAACACATTCCATCCCCTCCTTGCACACACATGGCCGGCCTCAATGAAGCCTTGTTGAGCAGCCAAGGGCAGTTGCACTCCCTTTTTTCCATGCCCAACATCCTTCCCACGGAGGGGACCATTGGGACACAGGATCCCCACGCCCCCCGGGAATGACGCAGCTCCCTGCAAACTCTGCCCCGAGCACCAGCAAAAAGCCCCAGGGAAAGGGACAGGGCAGGGAACCTGGCCAAGCATCCCATAGCCAGCGCGTGGCCGGCAGTTGGGGCGGGTGCCCAGTGAGCACAGAGCCTTTGCTTGTTCGCCCAGCCCCACGAGAGCAGCGCGCGCCCGGGGTTTGCTCAGAGCACGGCTTTTGGCTTTCCTCCTTGTTATTTTCAATGCAAAAAAAAAAAAAAAAAAAGGAAAGAACGAAAGAAAGAAAAAGACAGTGCAGCCTATAATCTGCTGGCTGGCTGCTTGGAAAGTGTGACGGGGCCCTGCTCGCCTCCACGCGCTTTTGCTACAGGACAGAGCAAGCTGGGAACAGGGGTTGCTCCAGTGGGGTCCCCCCCTGGGGATGAGGTGGTTCATTTGTAGGCCTCAGCCTATACAAAGCCAATACAGCTTTAAGCCTCCCAGCTTGCTGCACAGCAGAGCTGGGTGCCCAGCTGGAAACCACATTGGTTGGGATGGGGGAAGCTGCAAAACTGAAATGCAGCAAATGCTAGGTGGGAGCACATCGGGAAGCAGCACCATGTCCCCGGAGCCCAGACATAATGCCCACATGTGTGCCTGCACAGGGATGGGGGTGAAAAGGGAGAGGGAAAAGCCTTTTTGCAAAGCACTGCATGCAACGTGATGCTGGTTCTGCAGCGGTGGGTCAGAGGAGGACAGCCCATAACGGCCCTGCTGGGGCTCCTGTGATTCACTGGCTTGGGCCAGAGGAAGAAGGAGCCAAAGCGGCTCATGCCAACGGCATGCACAGGGACCAGGAAATGAGCAGGCTTGAGTAAGACGTGCTGGCAGCCCCGAGCCTGAGGCTCGCTGTTAGTAGTGCTGGGTGTTCCCCTGCTGCCACCTCTCCCCTGCACAGCACGGCTGGGCGATGCTGCTCCCAGACCCCGAACCAAACCGGGGCCAATGGTTGGAAGTGGTGTTTGGAGGCGTCTGGGCAGGGAGGTGCGCATGTCTCCAAAGAGCGCAGGCTGGGGCTGCCCCTCAGGGAGCAGCTATAGAGTCTAAATAGCTTTTAGGGCTAGCGTGTCCTGCTGCAGGCCCAGAGCTGAGCCATTGGGATGCACCAATGTATGCTCTGCGTGCAGGCACAGCACACACACGTGCCCTCAGCCCACAGGCACACCTAGCTGCTGTGCAGTGCAGCTGCACCGTGGTCCCCTCGCCTTCTGCACACCCCCGTGACACATCACACTGCTGCATGCCATTGTGCTGAGCCCACCATTCTCACAGCTACAGGCCCCGAGCCCCTTCCAGCAGCAGCTCCTGCGACCACATATGGATGGCACACGCGTGCTGAGCAATCCAGCAGGGGAAATTTAGCACCGCGGTGCGAAATACATAGAGGGTTGGCACCGGGGAACCTGGGCAGGGCACGGCCACCACTCCATGAGGACGCGGGGGTGGCAGGGTCACAGAAGACAGAGGGATGAGAACGGAGGCTGGAGGCTGCAGCCTTCGGGCCCCATCGTGTGGCCGCCGGCAGAGGATGCAGCTCCCAAAAAGGCGCAGCCCAGCGACGGGAGGGCTGCTGGAAGGGGTCTCCCGTTCATACACAGGGCTGGGAGGGTCCCTCCAGGGATCCTTCCCCCGCCTGACCTTCTCCTTCCCCTTCCCAGTCTCGTTCTTCGGGGACAGCTTCGTGGAGATGCCGCTGGCGGACGCCTCGCGGACGGTGCGGCTGCGGCTCCAGCTGTACACCGGGCAGGGCAGCGGGCTGCTCTTCCTGGCCGCCGGGCAGCCCGACCACCTCCTGCTGCAGCTGCGAGCCGGCACCCTGCAGGTCAGCACCGTGGGCCGCGCACCCGCTGCGTGGGGAGGTGCGGGAGGGTAGGAAGGGGAATGGATGAGCAGAGGGCGCTGGAGAAATGGAAGGTTCCACTAGCGGCCGCTCCCAGCCCACCGCAGACCAAGCGCAGCCGGGGCGTGGGAAGGGACGAGGACAGAAGAACAATTTCCTCTTGTGGTTACGGTGCTGGCATCCACCAGAGGAAATGAGCAGGGAGCGTCCACGAACCACATCTGAGGCCAGGCAGGGAGTGAGCAAGCAGCTGACCATGCGTCTCGGGGGCCCCCTGGCCAACCCTCTATTAGAGAGGCTCCAGGATGCTGCTTGTGGGGATGTACCCTCCCACCCCCACCCCCGCTATTTCTATATTATATATAGAATGTATATAAACCTGTTATTTCCACTGCCAGGCTGATGGGGGCTGGAAGCAGCCCAAGCAGTGTGGAAGGGTTAGATGGGGCTGGAAAGTGGAGTCGGCACATGGCAGAGCTCCTGCATGGGGAGAAAAGGGATGGGGAATGGACCCATGAATTGGGTGAATGCCTCTGACACTGCAGAGGCATGCAGAGGTGAATGGAGGGACCGGGACACTTTAACCCTCAGTGATGTGTCCTCACACCGTGCTTGAGCTGAGTCCTGACCCCTGTCTGTCTCCTTCCCCACAGGCCAGGCTGCGGCTGGGCTCAGAAGAGGTGACGCTGCAGTCCCCGGCAGAGCTGCAGCTGGACAACCTGGCTCTGCATGATGTGGAGCTGCTGCTGGAGGATGGCAGGATGACACTGACCATTGATGGCCTCTTCAACAGCTCCGTGGACATCGCGGGGCCCATGCGGGAGCTGGACATCCAGCACGGCCTCTATGCAGGCGGGACAGGCAGCCTCAACCTGCCATACCTCGCTGGGGTCAGCCTGCCCTTCAGGGGCTGCCTCCACACTGTGACATTCAATGGTCTGGATGTCCTCTCCCCGCTGTCCTCTGACAGCAGCTCCAAGGTCTTCCACCAGGTGCAGGAAGGCTGCAGCGCGCAGTTCTCTGCAGAGCCCGAGGAGCCCATTGGATTCCTGGGGCCGCAGTCCTACATTGCCTTCCCCACATGGGAGGCGAGAGAGGAGGGGACCATCGAGTTTGTGATCACGACGAGCATCACCCAGGCACCCCTCATCTACCACGCAGGGCTGGAGAACGACTTCTTCTACCTGGAGATCTCCAACGGGCGCCTGAGAGGGTTTGTTGAGAAGGGCAATGGTGTCATTGTCCTGCACAACAACATCTTCATCAGCGACGAGCAGCAGCATTACGTCAAGGTCTACACCGACACCCACAAGCTGGAGATCCTGATTGACTACTATGCCTCATCCACATCCAACCGGGGCATCAACAGCCGCCTGGACCTCCAGGGAAACCTCTTCATTGGAGGCTTGAATGACAAAGCCTTGCAAAGGCTTAGGGCGCACCACCTTGCTTTCACATCAGTGTGGACCTCAACCAACACCTCATTTGTTGGCTGCATGGAGGACCTGCGCATAAACCAGCAGCGGAGGAGCCTGCAGGACGCCGTAGTGACAAGGGATGTCACAGTTGGCTGTGGAAGGCAGGAGCACTACTGGGACTACGAGGAGGCTTATGAGCAGGATGAGGCACCCACTTCACCCCCGCCTGATGCCTGGCACGGAACTCTGGGCCTGGCAGAACCGTGCCAGCCAGATGGCAGCTTCCCACCTGCCTTCGCCAATGTCAGCCGGCTGCTGCACGTCAGCCCCCTCATTGTCTCCGAAGGGGGCATGGCCTTTGTGGAATGGAAACACGCACAGCCCACGGTGGACTTGGGCCTTGCAGGCATCCGGCAGTCCCAAATCCTCTTCAGCATCACCAGTGACCCAAGGCATGGTGAGCTGGAGCTGGACATCCCCGGCTCCCGGAGCAGAAAGAAGTTCACCTTGTTGGATATCGTGAACCGCAAAGTCAGGTACATCCATGATGGCTCTGAGGGCCCCATGGACCAGCTGATGCTGGAGGTGACAGTGACTGCCCAGCAAGGGATCCCTGAGTGCCTGCGGCAGGGGCAGACCTACCTGCTCCCCATCATGGTCAACCCTATCAACGATGCCCCGCAGGTGATCTTTCCCCACGGGAACCACATGACAATCCTGAAGCACACACGGAAGCACCTGACCATGGACATCCTGCAGGCTCTGGATGACGACACATCCTGCGACGACCTTGAGTTCCAGCTGCATGGCAGGCAGCAGGACGAGGGCTATGTGGAATATGACTTCCACCCTGGGGTGCCCATCGAGGAGTTCTCCTGCAGGGACCTGGAAGCAGGCAACGTGGTCTACGTGCACCAGAGCGGAACAGACTTACAGCTCACTTTCCAGGTGAATGATGGCACAGTGCCGAGCCCCATCGCCACCCTGAGGATCCTCGCAATAGAGCCCAACATCCGCTTGCACAACAACACCGGGCTCACCATCTCCCAAGGAGGAGCTGCGCGCATCACCACAGCCAACCTGTCCGTGGAGACAAATGCTGTGAAGCAGCGAGTTGCCATCCTGTACAGCCTCACAGAGCCCCTCAGGTACGGTGAGATCCAGAAACAAGGGAGCATAGGAGGGGAATGGAAAAAAGTTGAGTCCTTCCACCAGCAAGACCTGGAGCAAGGGCGTATCCAGTATTTCAGCACAGATCCAGAGCACCGGCAGGAAGATGTCACAGAGAAGCTAAGATTCAGTGTCCAGGTGGGACAGAAGGTCTTGCCAAACAATACCTTTACCATAAGTATTAAAAGAGCCACCATTAAGATGAAGACCTTGGTCCCCCTCCAGATGAAGAACAAGCGGCACAAAAACATCACCAGTAGGGAGCTGGAGGCAATGCTGGAAGACCTAAACTCTGCCCCCGTCCCCTTCCACTATGAGATCATCCAGGCTCCCAAGAAGGGGAACCTGGAGCTCCTCGGCAACAGGCTGACTGAAGGCTTTAGGTTTACTCAGGATGATCTACAAAGAAATCACTTGAGCTACAGCGCAACCATCAGGAACGCTCAGCAGGCTGAGGACAGTTTCCAGTTCCGTGTCCATGCCGGCGAGGAGCACTCCCCTGTGTACACCTACACCATTGGCATCGGTGGGGACCCCAACGCACCCGACCTGACCAATGTCCTCCTGACCGTGCCTGAGGGCGGGCAGGCTGTCATCTCCAAGGACCACCTCTTCGTGCAGAGCCTGAACAGCATGGACTACATCTACGAAGTGATTGAGGGGCCGGCACATGGCAGGCTGGCTTGGGCTACATCCCTTGGCTGGCCCTCTGGCGAGGAAATCACGGAGTTCACCAACGATGACATCCTCCACCGTCGGCTGCTCTACCAGCATGATGACTCTGAGACCCTGGAAGATGATATCCCTTTTGTGGCCATCAGGCAGGGCGAGGGCAGCTCTGAGCCTGAGGCAGAGGAGGTGAGAGGTGTTTTCAGGGTCTCGATCCAGCCTATCAATGACCACACTCCTGTCCAGGTGGTGAACAAGGTCTTCAACGTGGTGCGCAATGGGCAGCACCTGCTGACGACGGACGACATCGCCTTCACTGACAAGGACTCTGGCTTCTCCGACACGCAGCTGGTGCTGGCAAGGAGGGACATTTTGTTTGGCAGCATCGTGTCCATCGATGACAGAAGCCACCAGCTCTACCGGTTCACCCAGGATGACCTGAGGAAGAAAAAGATTCTCTTTGTCCATTCCGGAGCGGACCGGGGCTGGATCCAGCTGCAGGTCTCCGATGGCCTCCACCAAACCACTGCCCTCCTGGAGGTACAAGCATCAGAGCCCTACATCAGAGTAGTCAACAACACTGGCCTAGCCATCCCCCAGGGGAGCCGAGGGAGCATCGATTCCTCTGTACTCAGCTTGGAGACCAACATGGACATCAGGTCAGATGAAGAGATACGGTTCCTGGTAACGGCCCCGCCGAGGTGGGGGACTGTGCTGCGAGGGGAGCAGCCGGTCATGGCCTTCTCACAGAGAGACCTGCTGGCAGGAGAGATCTCCTACCTCCACAACGGCAGCAGAAATGCCCGGGATGAGTTCCAGTTTACTGTAGAAGCAAACGAGGTGGCAGTAGAGGACACACTGGCCATCACCATCTTCTTGGACACCCACCCCAGCCCCCTGCACGTTGTCAATAACAAGGAGATACATGTCTTCCAGGGAGAAGCTGCTGAGATCAAGGAGGAGCACTTGCTGGTTAGTATCATTTCTCTAGTCGTTCCTCCCTGGCCACCAAACCAGGGACCCCACGTAACACCCACCTGTATGGAGAAAGGACTTGTGTCCATCTCTGGCTTTGCCCAGGGGAAGAGATGGGATTCAGGCCCCTGCTAACTCTGTGTGTTTCCATGCTCTCAGGTGACCCATGAGGAGATCCCACCCCAGGATATCGTCTACCTGGTGAGCAGCCCCCCGGTATCTGGCTTCCTGGTGATGGTTCAACACGGCCAGGACTCAGATGAGCCACCCAGCCTGGACCCCATCCAGTCCTTCACCCAGGAGGACATCAACAGCGGCCAAGTGCTCTACCTGCACTCCAAGCCAGAGGAGGAGCAGGACCGGTTTGTCGTGGATGTGACGGCTGGGGGAGCAGACCCACTGGTGGGGGTGGCTGTCAGCCTGGTTGTGCTCCCTGCCACCATCCCCCTGGACATCCACAACATCACGGTGCCGGGAGGAAGCTCTGCCACCATTTCCACAGCTGTCCTCAACATCCCCAGTGCCTACTTTGCGGCCCTTGACATGGAGTTCAGGGTGCTCCAGCCTCCCCGCTTTGGCACCATCCTGAACAGCCAGCGGCCCCAGGATGGGGGGTTGCACAGCTTCACCTGGAGCGAGGTATGGATTGCCCAGGGGGTGGGCTGAACTCCTGCCCTGGTGCCATCAGGAGGCTGGGGAGGGAGGTTGGGCTCTTCCTCTTCCCTTTCTCTTCCTCTTCTCCTTCTCTTTCTCTTCCTCTTTCACTTCCTCTTCTTCATATCTTCCTCTTTTTCTCCTCTTTCTCTTCCTCTTCCTCTTTTCTTTGTCTTCCTCTTCTCTTTCTCTTCTGTTTCTCTCTCTCTCTTCCTCTTTCTATTTCTTTCCTCTTCATCTTCCTCTTCCTCTTCTTCTCTTCTCATAGAGATCTGCCCATAGGAGGGGCTTGGAGTGGCCAGGTCCATGTCTGGCATGGTAGGGGTCCAGCCCAAGACCTGAGATGGGTTTGGATGGCCCTGGAGTAGGGATGCCCCAGATCTACTGATGGACACCCAGCTCCTGCATCCTCCCATAGAATCATAGAATCATTACGGTTGGAAACGATGATTAAGAACACCAACTTCAACCCACCCCCACCATGCTCACTGACCATGTCCCTCAGTGCCACATCTCCACAGCTCTTGAACACCCCCAGGGACAGTAACTCCACCACCTCCAGGGCAGCCCGTTTCAATACCTCACCACTGCTTTGGAGAAGAAATTTCCCCTAATACCCAACCAGTCATCCTAACACCCAACACGGTTCCTTCACCCGGCCCCCTCCCGCAGGTGCAGAGCCAGCAGATCCAGTACCGGCAGGACATTCCCCATGCCCAGGCCGACAGCTTCACGCTCGTGGCCAACGCCTCGACCTCCGAGAGGCAGAGCCAACCCGGGACCGTCTTCATCGCCATCCTGCCCCGCAGCACCAGGGGGCCCCGGCTGCGCACCAACGCCGGGCTCCAGGTAATGGGCACGGTGCGGGGGGCGACTCCTTCCCTGCTCCTCCTCTGCCTCCTCCTCTTCCTCCATCTCCTCCTCCTCCTTCTCCTCCCCTCCTCCTCCTCCCCTAGCGATGCTGGAGCTGTCCACGAGGTGGGAGCATCGCCCGCTCCAGCCGCTGCCTGCCGTACAGTTTAGGGAATACTTGGGAATAGCACGGCGCTCCTCTCCCCATGCCCCATGTCTCCTAACCCCTGGCCTACCTCACCCACCCCAGCCGCATGCACAGCCAAGGGGCTTTGGGAAGGAGGCTCCGAGCTGCAGAGCTGCCCAGAGGGAGGGGGATGGAATGCCCACCCAAACCTGGAGGTCTCCATCCATAGGCAGCCCCCCCCCGGACACACATCTCTGGCTGTGCACACACTGCTTGCACAGCCCCTCCAGCAAATCGCCTTTGTTGTGCGTTAAGCCCTGATCTGCCCCAGCTGTGCCAAAATCCCCCATAAAATCGCCACTTTGCCTCCTCCTCGCTGGTTTCCAGCCAGCCTGGCACTTAGGGACCCCCTTTCCCTCCAGCCACCACCACACTGCAGAGCTGCCAAAAGGCAGGAAAAGGCCCCAGAACAATTTCAGCAGCACAGCTCCATTCTCGGAGGGTTTGGAGCAGGGAGCACATCCCAGCTGAGCGCAAGGAGGGGCCGGGCATGTGTTTGTGCTCTTGGGAGATGACTTCAGCGGGTAAAGGTCATGGGCCCGGCATGGAAATTGCACACAGCTTCCCTGCTGCACGCACACAGCGCCGGGTGCAGAGTCCGTGTGGGCAGTGCAGGGATTCCAGCTGTAATAACCCGGGGAGGATGTGGGGCACAGCTATATGGGTCAGCCCTGCTCAGTCCAGCTGCATTGTCCCGTTCTGCATCGCTGAAGCTGCACTTCCCGGCCTCACTCCTTGCTCCCATGGGGGATCTGATGGATCTGATTTCACCGCAGGCACCCACACCCACTCAAGAAATGTGTGGGGAGAGGCCAGCTGGAAAGCACTGTGCTAACCCGATGCTGGGACAGGAATAATCCCGCAGTCTGCGAGGCTGGAGTATGGCAGAGGATTAGCAACGGGGTGCATTGATGCCTCCTGCTTGCCTCTACCCCCTGCATGCTTTGGGCTGAGCCCCGGGCACCGAAAGCCCGTTGCAGTGGGGTGATGCTGCAGATGTGGGGTGGAGACAGTCCTGGGCACTGTGCCCCATGAACGTGCTGGGGAACAGGCGCGGGGTGATGAGGGCTTGGGCAGAGGCCAGGGGATGCGCGCATCACCCAGCAGTGCACAAGGAGCTCTTGTACAGCTGAGATGTGCCTCCCTGTGCAAGGCACGCGGTGCTGCTGGTGTGTCCAGGGGGTCACAGCCTTTCCTGTCCCCCAGCTGCGGGAAGGCACCGCTGCCACCATCGGCCCCCAAACTCTGCGTGCTGAGGATGAGGACAGCCCGGCGGCCGAGGTCACCTTCTCCATCCAGCCTCCAGCCAATGGCAAGGTGGTGCTGCGCTCTGCGCCCGAAACGGCACTGCGGAGCTTCACGCAAGCGCAGATTGACAGCGGCGTTGTCCTCTTTGTGCACCAAGGTACAGCTGTCCCCGTGCTCCGTGCCACTGGGGTGGGCACCGTGCCCTGATCCTGGAACAGGGTGGGGTCTGCCCTGTGCCCCAGCTCCATGCTCTCCACAGGGCCCCTGGATGGAGGCTTCGCCTTTGACCTGTGGGATGGTGAGAACCTGTCTCCCGGGCACTTCTTCCTCGTCAGGGCGCACAGAGAGGAGCACATCAGCCTGGCCAAGAAGCAGAGCCTCACCCTCTGCCCAGGTGGGTGTGGGGCTCGGGGCAGCGGCACTCAGGAAGCCCAGAGGAGAAAGGCTGATGCTCATCCTGATGTGTTTTCCAGGTGCCCTGCAGCCCATCACCAGCGAGAACCTGCAGGCACTGAGCAGCAGCCCTGCTGGCCCTGCTGCCCTGTACTACAGCATCGAGCAGGCACCGCGCCTGGGGCAGCTGCGCACCGCCCATGGGGGTGAAGTCAGGAACTTCACCCAGGCCCAGGTTGAGCCCAGGCCCAGCTCTCCAACACCCCCACAGCTCGGGGTCCTGCCCTGACAGCCCCCTCCCCCAAGTTTATTTTGACACTAAGCTGAATTCAGTGTGATTTTCTTCCTTCTAGGTGGATGCAGGGATGATTTTCTACCAGCACGAGATGCCACAGAAGCCTTTCTGGCTCACCCAGGATGCCATCCGCTTCCGTGTGGTTGCTCCCACCACCATCTCTGACTCCTTCATCCTGCTGGTGCTGATATCATTCGAGGCGAAGTGTCCCCAACGCTCAACTAAGCTATGGAGAAATGCAGGTGAAAAAGGATGGGAGACGAGGAAGGGACAAGCAAAGGACAAATGAGTTCTCCTGAAGTTTGCACAGTCCCCCTGAACGGGGATGAAGTTGTGCAAACTTCAGTAGAGCTTGTTTGTTGGAAGAAAAAGCACTATTGTACAACATGCACGGACATGGATAGTGCACCAACCAATATCTAGCAAATTGCATCCATCCTTTGGCTGCATATAACTCCTTTGAGTGATGTGGTACAGAGCGGTCACAGGCATGGGCTGATAGTTGGACCGGATGATCTTACAACCTTACTGTTCTTTTCAATGATCTTTTCAACCTTAATGATTCTGTGATTCTGCAGTTCCCCTCATCGTCTTGCCAAGCTAACAAATCCCATTCGCCTTCCCCATCGCTTTGCAACTCTTCTGCTCTGACTGAGCTTTGGCTTTCCCTTTTTCCCCAGGTCTCCATCTCATAGAGGCTCAACGGGCAGAGATTGGCACCTCGCTGCTGGATGCATCCAACCTCCTGAGCCAGCTCCCGGCCCGCGAGCAGGATGCACACGATGTCATCTTCCTGGTGACGGAGCTGCCGGTGCACGGACAGCTCTGGGTGGCTGATAGGCTGCTGGAGCGCTCACAGCCCTTCTTCCTGCAGTCAGACCTGGCTGCTGGACGCCTGGTGTATGCACACCGTGAGAATGGTGGCACCGAGGACAGATTCCAGTTCAAGGCTTGGCTCCGGCCTCGGGCACAACGCTCCATCCGTCCCCCCCAGGAAGGGCTGCTCATCTCCGAAGCTTTCAACATAACGGTGAGCAGCAGCAGCCAGAAGCCCCTGCAGGTTGTGAAGCGACAAGGAGCACTGCGGGTGCTGCCCAACTCCACCATCACCTTGTCCAGGCAGCACCTGGATGTGGCAGAACCGCAGGGCTCCCCAGAGAAGCTGGTGTACAGCCTGCTGCACAGCCCCCAGGCCGGATACCTGGCCCACGTGCGCAGCCCACAAGTACCCATCAAACGCTTCACACAGGCGGACATCAATGCAGGCCACGTGCTGTTGGTCACTGCAGCCCGTGGGGCTCAGGAGTCCCTGGCGCTGAGCCTGTCTGACGGCCAGCACCCACCTGCCCACGTCTCTCTGGAGGTGGTGGTGCTGCCCATGGGCAGTGCAGAGCCGCTGGAGGTGCCGCAGGAGCTGAATAGGGCCATGCTGTCCCCACGGCACGTGGCACCGCAGCTCGGGGAGGGCGATGCCCTTTACACCATCACCGCAGAGCCGAGGTTTGGCCAAGTGCAGGTCAACAGAAAGCCAGCACTGGGCTTCTCGCAGGCGCAGCTGGAGCGTGGAGAAGTGACCTTCACCTTCACCAAGCTCACCTCGTCTGAGGACAGCTTCCAGTTCCTCACCAGGTCACAAACAATGAACAGCACCGGGGTGGTGAATGTCACCGTCCGTGCCTTGGTGACAGCGCGGCCGGGCAGCGTGTGGCCCAGGGGCACCACAGCCCTGCTGGATACCAGCACGCTGGATGCCAGTGAGCTGGCCAACCGCACCCACAGCATCCCAGTCTTCAGGCTCCGCCAGCCACCCCGCAGCAGCCGCCTCATCAGGAGACCCCGTGCACCAGGACAGCCCGCTGTCCCCATTGAGTCCTTCAGCCAGAGGGAGCTGGAGCAAGGGCTGGTGGGGCTGGAGGTGCTGGACGACGAGGACACAAACCAGCAGCATCCACATAGTGACAGCTTCACCTTTGAACTGGTGGCTGCTGGCGTGCCACCAGCACTGGTGTCCCTGGGGTACATCACTGAGCCCTACAATGCCTCTAAATCCTACGGTGTCACCCTGCTCCTGGCCCCACCAGCACCATCATCCCTGGTGCCACAGCTGCAGGGCACGGCACGGAGCAGCCCCAATGCCAGCGAGCCAGGATCTGTGCCCCCACCCACCAGCCCCAGCCCCGGAGAAGGCGGCACCTTCCTAGGCTTCATCGAGGCTAACATGTTCAGCATCATCATCCCCATCTGCCTCATCATCCTCCTGCTGGCCCTCATCCTGCCCCTGCTCTTCTACTTGCACAAGCGCAACAAAACGGGCAAGCACCACGTGCAGGGCTCACCTGCCTCCAAGGCCAAGAACGGGGCTGTACCAGAGCAGGAGACCTTCCGCAAGACGGACCCCAACCAGGGCATCCCTCTAACGACTGTCAATGCCCTGGATGGCAAAGGCACAGCTCCGCCACCGCAGGGTCCCGGTGTGCCAACTGACCCCGAGCTGCTGCAGTACTGCCGGACATCCAACCCTGCCCTGAAAAACAACCAGTACTGGGTGTGAGGGTGCAGGGCGGGGGCACGAGTGGTGGGAGCCCCCCAGAGCGTCACCTCCTCCTTCAGGGGAGCCGGCATCCCGCAGGCGCTGCAGGACCTGGGGGTGGGGGGCTGCCAGCACGGCCACCCAGGACCCCCCCCATCTCCATAGTGCTTTGGGCAGAGGGGCAAGTGGGTGGGGGGAGGGGCAAAACGCCATCAGGGAGCGCTGCCATCGGGTACGCACTGGGGACACCTGAGGTTGGCCAAGGTGCTGGGGGTGCAGGTGGGTGAGAGGGATGAGGACGAGCAGCTTTGCACGACGTCAGGCTCAGGATGGAGCTGCCCAAATCCCCCAGGGCTAGGCGGGCTGCAGTGATGGAGCAGAGGCTTGGAAAAACCCCGTGGCCAACGCCAAGGGGATCCAAGGAGCCCCCGCCCACCCAGAGAAGAGAAATGAGCAAAACACATCGTGCTGCCTCCAAACACCCAGAGCAGCCGGGGCTGCACACCAGGCCAGGTGCCCCCAGAGGCACAAAGCTGGAGGGGGGAGCGGGCACGGCTTGGTTTCCCACTGTATGCTCCAGTCTGGTAGGAGTGCACAGAATAAAGTGCCTTTCCCGAGGTGCAGCCGGTTTGCCTGAGCCCTGCCAAGCCGTGAGCTGCAGCGCAGTGTTTGGAGGCGGCGTGCCGAGCCCCGGCCTCTTGCTCAAGTTTTCCCCTAAGCCCTTAAATAGGAATGAGCCGAGGAAAAACTGAGCGCTGCGCTCAGGATGGGACCCAACAACAACACACCGAATGGCTGCAGCTCCTTCCCACAGGGCTCTCCTGTTCTCTGCGTGCTGCAGCCGGGCTGAGATGCTCCCTCAGCACTCCTCACATCTGGGGTCAAACCCTCCCAAAACAGCACCCCGGAGCTGTGAGCTGTGCTGTTTGCAGCTTTCCTGGCTGTGTTTATGAGCAAGTTTGCCTGCCCTGCCCCGCTGTTGGAGCAGCCCATTGGGTGCCGGGGGGGGTCCTGCCCCCACCAAGCCCTGTGCAGGGATGGATGGATAGCAGCTCAGCAGCTTGCAGGGTGGTGCTGCTCCCCAAATCCAGGGCAGCCCTCTGTGCAGAGCGGAGGCGTGCCAGCTCTCCCTCCCTCCTGCATGTCATCGTGGCTCCGTGTTGTGCACGGCTGTGGATCAGCTCTGCAACAGGAGTGGGTGCTGCAGGGCAGGCACTTGCCTCACCCCAAGGGATTCAATGGGAGGAACACGGCCTACATTCAGGAGCAGGGAAAGCAAGGCGAGTTATTTTGGAGGCTTGTGGTTGCATCCCCTGCACAATATCTGCTCACCAGGGTCAGGAGAGGACAGGCAGCAAGCTGGAGGAGCTGGGTGTGCTTCTGTGAGGCCAAGTCGTGCTGGTGGAAAGTCCCGAGCAGCACTCAGGGCATGCAGCAGGACAAGTGGATGCGGGGATGTGAGGGTGGGAGCCACGAGCCCCATTCCAGGACAGGGACCTGCCCTCCTCTTGCCCCATGTGGGAGCACCGGGAGGGTGCAGGCTCTGCTGCAGCCTGGGTGCAGGGCTGGTTTCCAGGCACTGCTGCACGCAAACAAACACGCGGGCCAGCAGGTTTCCTGCAACGCCCAGCTGGGCTCAGGTTCCTCAGAAGGCTCCAGCAGCTCTCCCCACACACGGGCACGCCGCAAGCCTCACTCCCCAGGCAGGGCTGGCTGCACAAAGCATTCCAGCAGCTGTATGGCACGCAGTGACATGCAAGGCAGCTCCGGCCCCATCCCCAGCTCACAGCCAGCAGGCAGCAATGGGGCCTGAGCTCTGTGCAACAACACACCCAGAAACAGCCACACACCTCCACCACGTCCAGCAGGCTCAATGCCCTGCCATGCTCCCAAAATATGCGAGGCACGCAAGGATGACGAGGTGCTGCTGAGCCCCAGCTGGCACGCTGTGCCCCACACGCATCTGCCTGCTGCTGCTCCCTGCACATGGGTGCTCCCGGCACCGTGTGGTGCTGCCAAACCCATCCCTGCCAACCGGCCCGGCGGGTTCCTTGGCCCTGGCAGTGCTGCCAGTGGCACGGGGACATCACCATCTCACCGCCCGCACTGCCAGTGCGTCCTGCTTGGGCTTGGCAAGTGCTGCAGTGTTCTCCTCCAACAGCCTTCAGGCCAGAGAGAGACAGGAATAGGGACCTGGAGCTGTGGGCGTTCTCTGTTGGGTTCTCCTCCCTATTTTGAAAGCTTCTTTGGGGTCTTCCCAAGGTCAAGTTTGTGATCTCCCATCCACAAACCCAGTGATGGTGATGGCAGGGTCTGTCTCTGCACCCACCCAGCCCCACTGTGAACCCACAAAGCCCGCAACAGACTCCCCAGAATCTGGATCTCAATGGGGGGAATGGCTTGGGATGGGGACCCCAGTGGTGAATGGCTTGGGATAGAGATCCCAAAAAGAAATGGCATGGGATGAGGGCAGGGGTGGGGATGGGGTGGGGTGTATGTGGAGTGGGATGGAGCAAAGGTATGGTGGGCATGGGGTAGAAGAGGGATAGGGTAGATGGGACCAGGGTGGGATGGGGAGGAGGAAGGAGGGAGTCAAGATAGGAAGTGGATGGGAAAGTATAGGAACAGAGTAGGATTGGGATGAATTTTGATAGGAATGGAATGGGATGAAGCCAAGATAGGATGGGGACAAGGTAGAATAGGGATGAGATGGGACAGGAACGGAGAAGGATGGGATCACGCTGGGATGTGGGCAGGGTGAGATGGGAATGGTGTGGGATGGGGTTGGGGCAGGGTGGAGCCAAGGTAGGATGGGACAGTGTGGGGAAGGACCAGGTTGGGCTGGGGACAGGGTGGGGCAGGATGAGGACAGAGAAGGATGCAGCCAAGGAAGGACGGGGACAGGGAAGTACGGGACCAGGGTAGGCTGTGGATGGGGTGGGATGAGGATGGGGTGACATAGGATAGGATGGGGATAGGACAGCCTGGAGATGGGGTGGGATGAGAATGGGATGCAGGAGGAAGCACATCCCTCCTTGAGGCTGTCATGCTGTCCCTGTGGGGAGGGATGAGGGGGTCAGGGACGGCCGAGCGCAGCGCGCTGCCTTCCCAGCACCGCGGTTATCCCAACGCCGGCCCGCACGCTGGGGCTAATTTTAACCCTGGAGCCTGGCCAGGCCGGCCCGACTTCCCTTGCTGTGATTTATCCCAACCATTTCCCTTCACAAACACAGCCCTCGTGCCAGCCCTGCGTGCTCGCCGCCGGGGATGCTTGGGAGGAATGCCCAGCGCCGTGCCCCCTCCGCAGAGCCCTTCCTGGAGCAGCTCTGCTTCCCAGCAACATCCCAGGGACAGAGCGGGGGGTGAGGGGGGAAGGTTTCTACTGACGTTTTTTATTGAAAACGCTGTGGGCTGGCTTGTTTTTTTGTTTTTGTTTTTTATATCCCTTTTTCCAGTCAACAGCAGTGCTTGAGAAAAGAGATTTCCGTTGGCCTGCGTCTATTTAAAAACTGGTAAAAACGCTGCAGAAACATTTGCGAAAAATGGAAAATATTGGGGGGAGGAAAAAAAAAACAAAAAAAAAAACCTCTTCCAAATAAAGATCTTTTTGTGTTTTCTTTCCCATCAGAAAAACTTTCATTGTGCAAAATGTCGACCGCTTGGATTTCTCCTCCCAGTGAGCCGCAGTGCTCCACGAGGACGGGTTTTTGGAAAGCTAAAAACCACAGGGTGGTGCCACGGGCACACATGTCCATCTGTCCTGTGGGAGCACACGTGTCCTCACCACAGTCCTGCAGCCAGGCTGGAGGAAAGCCCAAAGGTATTTGGTCACTAGCGTCATGAGTTCCCACCCGTTCTCAGCCCTCCCAAGCAGAGATGCTCTGTGAGGCCGTGGCTGGAAGCGGTGCGATGCGGGACGGGCGGCAGGCAGGTGTGTTAGAGGTTGTCATACATGCGCAGCGTCTTCTCCAGCTGCTGGCTGACACGCTGGTAGAAGATGATCTGCTGCTTCAGGTAGGACTGCATCATCCTCTTGAAGTCGGCCACGCGCCGCTCGTGGAAGTGGTTCATCTCAGCTTGCAGGGCGAAGCCCACCACGCGGCAGCGCTTGCGAATCCCATCCGCCTCCTCCTGGTCCATCCGGCCCTCGTCGCTCATCCGCTGGCTCTCCTTCACCTTTGCAAAGGCTCCTGGTGAGGCAGGGGAGAGGTGAGAGCCACACCGGCGCCCTACGGAGCAGCGCGTCACCCCGTAGCACCACAGCTCCAGGCTTTGGGGATGGAGCTGAAGCTTTCAGTGGGCTCAGCAGCTGGCAGGCAGTGTGCAAAGCCCACATTTCAGCCCGCTGTTCCTGCCTGGGAACTGGAGAAACTTTGCTACATAACACAGCAGGGCTGATAGCGGGATGGAACAGCCATCGTGGGAGACGGAGTGGGACAGGACACTGCTGACTGCAGCATCCCGGAGAACGCCTGAGATGCAGCTGATGCTCTGACAGCAGTTTTTCCCCTCCTTCCACTGATTTTTATAGCTCAGTTTCGAAAGAATCCCGCCTGGCTCTGGCCCTGCATTCCTCCCTGTCCTCAGCACAGAGGTTGTTTGCCTGCAAACAGGATCCGGCCTCCAGCGGTCGCTGGGAATTCATTCCCTCTCCCTGCCCCTGCCGGCAGTGCTGACCCGAGGTCCGGGAGGAGGAGGAGGAGGAGGAGGAGGAGGAGCCCTGAGGAAGCAAAGGTTGGAGGCCAAATCCTGCCTTCCGCTCTGCCCACGCGGCCTCGCTTCCGGACAGGATCCAGCCCATAGTGGTAAACAAAGTCAGGAGAGAGTGCAAGGAAGTAGCCAGGGCTGCTCTTTCTCCTCGTGCTCCTTGTGGGGCAATGCAGAGACCCAAAGCCGCCAGCCAACACGGACATCCCCTCCCTGGTGTGGCCTGGGAGGGGTGTGTGGACTTCGGCCCCGCTCCCACACCCAGCCCTGGGTGCGCGTCACACCCGGACAGAAGCACAAGGCTGACCAGCCCTGAGAAAGCGCCCAGCAGAGGCCCTTCCCTTGTCACGGAACACGCTGGGACAGATGGGATGCTCTGGTCCTGGCAGCAGGCTGCTGAGTCCGCTGACCTCTTCTCTAATCTGCAAGGATGTACTCGCAAAGAATTTGGCCCTGGTTGTGCTGAGCATGTCCAAAAGCTGATCCTAAACCAGGCAGCCCCAGCAGCACCTCCAGGGCAGGGGTGATCAGGGAACACAGCCACACATGATGGTCTCTATCCCTACCCCATCCTCACCCTCATGTCCATCCCTACCCCATCCATATCTCCATCCCCACATCCATCACCATCCCCCGTCCCCATCACTGCACAGCAGAGAGCTGCGCCCCCATCCCACTCCACACATAGGGCCATGAAGGACCCATAGAGCTGGTCTGGCCTCACCCCCAAGAGAAAAGCAGCCCTCCAGGGGAGTCCCCTTACCTTTCTGAAGGTGGATGATGTCTGGGAAGTTGGAGAGGAGCCCCTGATACAAAGAGAGAGTGTCCAGCATGAGGAAGAGGTCATTCTTGGGCTGCTCTGCAAACATCTCCCCAACAGCCTCGTACGTCTTGCCCGTGTGGGAGATGGCATTGTTGAGAGCATCTAAGCTGTAAGGGGGGTCCATCTGGAAGGAGTAGCTGATGGCTTGGAAGGCATTGCCCAGCTTCTGGAACTCCTTGCGGAACCCCCCCACGTGTTTGCGCACCAGCTCGGAGGCCACGTTGGTCAGCTGCAGGACGCTGTCGTCCATCTTCTTGCTGAAGGCCTTGAAGGCGTCCACGCGGTCCTCCACGTCCTGCAGGTCCTGGTGCTCGGTGGGGATCTGGATGGTGAGCAGGAAGCTGGCGCCCACCATCTCGTCCTTCTCCGCCCGCCTCTTGCCCAGCTTCCACTGCTTCTCATCGCGGCAGCGGAGGAAGTGCTGGAAGCCCTCGTACTGCGACAGGACGGGGTGGCTCGTCATGTGCTCCATCCACAGGATCAGGCGCCGCTTGCGCTTCTCGATGAAGTCCTCCTCGAAGCGCCCGGTGGCCTGCTTCTCGGGCAGGTGGGGCACCGAGATGATGGTGAACTTGTGCAGCAGGCGGTTGTAGAGCCAGTCAAAGTGCTTGTAGCGCCGGTACACGGGCGAGTTGAAGTTGCTGGGGGTCAGCTTGTAGGAGATGTAGCTCTTGATGCCCTTAAATTTGGTCTGCTTGGTGGGATCCTCCACGGAGCAGATGAAGGGGTGCGGGTTGGCTCGCCACTGCGGGCCCTTGGCGCCCATCTCGATGCCGTAAGCCTCGGCGATCTTGGACATGAGGGGCACGTCGCCAAGGATGAAGGCCTCCACGCCCGAGCGCACGAAGCAGGAGAAGCGGTTGAGGTTCCTGCCCACCACGCTGCCCCTCTTGGAGGAGCCCACGCTGTCCTGCCTCTCCAGCGCCGGCTTGGCACGGGGCGCTCCGTAGGGCTCCGCTCCCGCCGCTGGATGCCCGTTGGTGCCGGCAGCGCCGCGGGGCTCCTCCACCACCGTGCACGAGTCGTCCCAGTCATCCCAATCGTCGTCGTCGTCATCCTCGAAGCTGCCTTGGGACGAGAGGCCGGCGGGCGCCGCGCAGAAGCCGTGCAGGTGGCCGGGCGAGCCGGCGGGGCTGCCGGAGCTCTCGGCGTGCCCGGAGCCGGCGCGAGGGCGCACGATCTCCACGTAGGAGGCCGGGAAGAGGCCGGTCTCGCCGCGGCTGTTCCGGCCCTGCAGCCAGCCGTCCAGCGAGCGCTCGCTGAACACCACGAGCTCCTCGTTCTCCTGGATGCTGATCTCCTCCTTGTTTTCGCTCTGGAAGTTGTACAGCGCCCTGCCCCGCAGCGCCATGGCACGGCCTCCCCGCCGTGCGGAGCGGCAGCGCTGCGTCGCGGCCCCGCGCCCGGCTCACTGCAGCGGAGCCCGCGCCCCGCAGGCGGGCGGCGTCCCCGGAGCGGGACCGCGGGGCCCGGGCGAGCGCCGTGCCGGCCCCATGCCGCCGCGCCGCTCCGGGCTCCCGTCGGCTAACCGGCGGGGCCGCCGATGGACGTATTTACGTCTCTCTGGAAGTTTGCCGCCCGCTCCCCCCTCCTCCTCCTCCTCCTCCTCCTCCTC